AAACTCATTCTGTTGTGAAGATGCACATCCAGAAAAGGACAAGTGAAATGGGACCACTCATAAGTACCTAAATATCCTTCCAAGCTCCTCTGAAAAGCCTTTGCACAGCTGCTGACAAAGGTCTGAAAGACGACATATGCCTCTATCATGATGGGTAACATTGCATCATCATTTCCTGATGATCCTATTCTCCTGTCCTTATCCCTTTGCTGTCCCATGTGAGGGTTAGAGCAGAAGCACTTGACAACCAGGAGTGTTGGATTTTGCCTGTGCAGAACAAATTCTTCCTGATCCTTGCAGGTATCTTCTAGGCACTGCTGTCGTGAAATCTTTGAAGATTTCACACAGTACAGTAACAACTTTTTCAAGTACTGCTACATGAAGAGGACAGGAGCAGAGGAGCGTGCTGGCCACTGTGAACAGGCAAGGCAGGAATGGCAAAGCCAGTCCTTGGCAGTTTGGGTTCGCAGGGGCGAGCGCGAGGCGCGCGGAAGGGGAAGCGGCGTGTGCAGCTATCGGGTGTCCGTGTCTGCAGAGATGCCCTGGCTGCAACGCCAAGAAAATCAAACCTGCAGCCAAGAAAAACACCATTAAAGTGATGCAATGACATAGGCTGAGCGCTGCTCGTGGAATCCAAGTTACACGCAGAACAATCAAGAAGGAAAACACCGACGACATTCGCTTGTGTAACAGGGGTGTCACCTCCCAGCTGGCCGGCAAGCAAGGGCACAAGTGCAGGCACAAGTAAAACCAGAATTAAGAAGAGGGACTTGACCTTACTGAAAGCATCAACCAGGCCTGTCCCTTAGGGGTAATACTGTGGTAACCACAAAGACTTCATGTTCAGGTTTGTACATTTGAAACTTGTTTAAAATCCATCACATTAAAAAACTCTGCTAGGACAGACCTGCCTGATGAGGAGGGCAAGGCAAGAAAGCTGAAGCTCAGCATCAGGACACGGCCTCTTGCTCAAATAAAAAGCTGGATAAGGAAATACTGTGCATTTGTTGAAAAAAAAAGAAATACACTTTACCAACAGATATTTGAGATCTGTGTCAGGAGGGGTTGTAGCTGTAAGATAAATACTGATGGTTGCACTGCAGGTAGGACACAGGTGTGGGGTATGGTTTCTAGATTTCTGCTCCATGTCTTTTACAGGCTCTGAAAATGTTGTGATGCCAGCACTATGTACACTGGCAATACACTCAGGTTATAGAATAGCTGTGAGAAATGCAAATGTAGATCCACACAAGAATAAAAACATTCTGGCTCAGACCCAACACTAAATTATGCTAAAAAGCAGTGAATAAAATTTTTTTTCCATCAGAGAGTAAAAGGCATTTTATTCACTCATCACCTCCTATTGATGGGATGTCCTTCTGGGGTATCTACTGATGAGTAGCATTTATTGTTCATGCTTCACAGCTTCATCTGTATTTTGGACTTTAACATCAGCAACATGATCCAACCCCTGATAAGTGAGAGAGAGGAAATAGAAACACAACACAAGGTGCTCCCATCAAAATCTCAGTTCCTCATAATGCACAGAGAACCTACAGGACACAGCGTTGCTCAAAAGCACCTACTCGAGAAGCACCCCCTCAAATTGGGAAGGAGAGGTCATCTGGTGCCTTACCACATCCTCAGGATCTCCTGGTGACCGCTGGCTCACCCCGAGACAGTGGGATGCAGTTCAGGCTCATTTGAGGCCATTTGTGGTGGACCCCAGGCTGGACTGGCTGTGCTGCCTCACCCCACACCCAGAGAGCAGCAGCAGCTCCATGGGGGCTCCTGCAAGGAGCTTTCAGGGGAGCCTCCCCACAGGCTCAGACCCCACTTCCCACCCTGCCCTCCTCTTCCCCCTAAAATACCTCTTTGCTGGCAGCTTCAGGAGCTAGGTCTGTGAGTGAGAAAGAAGCAGCACCCAGAGTCACCAAGCTACAGAAAGTCCCCAAGAACAAAAGATTAATTTAAATGTCCTGGCTTGGAGCAGCCTTGGCCGTTAGCTTCAGGAAGTCCTCATCAGTTGTGCGGAGGAGGAAGCACCTGGAAATCACAGAATTAATTTGATCTGAAGAGATTGCTTTCTGGAAAAAACGTGTGTCAGTCCCCATTACTCAAGATTGCAGGGGCAGGGATGGGACAAGCCACACGTGGTGTGCGAGTATGCTGGATGCCAGTCCAGTGACATCAGCTGAACCAGGTTTCCTCCAGGCAGAGACTCGGGTCAGCTTGGCACCAGGCTGGGCTGTGGGGGCTGACACGGAGCAGGGAGCCACCACCTCCCCACAGCCCTGAAACAACCAGAAAGGAGGAGAAGGTCTGGGAGGGAAGTTCTGAGCTTCTCCATGGATGGGGATCCCAAGTGAAAACCAAGTCCCATGAGACACCCAAGTGTTCTCTCCAGAGCCCCACAGTCCACACGTGAACTCGGCAGCTCACGCTGCATTTGACACAACGAGGAGCAGTGCAAGCCTTGCTGCTCACTGCTGCTCACTGCAGAGTGAGAGCAAAGCCAGAAGTGACAGCTGCAGTGACAGCAGTGCCCTGGGTATTGTGCAGAGGCGTTTGGAGGTGGCAGCAGACCCTGCTGTGTCCCTCTCACTTCACAACTGCTCTTAAAAACATTGAGTTTCTAGATCATTTATCCTGAACTCCACTCTCCATGCTGAAGACACTGACCCTGACCCTTTTAAAGGGGATGTATCCCACCCATTTTGCTAAATTTGCTCAAGTCCTTGCAGCCAGAATGTCTATCTGGTCTCATAGCCAACATTTATGATGTTTGCAGAGGCAAGTGCAGTGCAGGAGACACTGGAGAGAGCTGCAGCCTACCTACCATGGCCAATACCTACCATGCCACTGAGTTGGGAGCTGAAAGTACTCTTAATGTACAAGATTCCTTCTGTAGATTATATTGATGGCTTGGAAGAGAAAGTTTAAATTAAACTTTTCTGTCTCCACAAAATAAGAGACTGTGTTTTGTTGTGTAACAAGCAGACAGAGGACTTCACAATGCCTTGGTGTCTTCTCTGCACACTCTGCCCCACCCATGCTGAAGTGCAAAGCCAGGACAGAGTTTGACTTTTTTTCTCAACGCAGAGGATCCCAGGAGCAGCAGATTTTGGGTAATCAGAGCCAAGAGATTTGTCTAGAGGGGGCTAAGGGAATGTGTCCCACTCATGATTTCAGTGATACTGAGAAGACAGGCTAGTGGCCAAGTACCACAGTAGGTCAGGGAGGAGGTTTGATTTCCCATTGCAAAATGGGAAAACATTACAGACAACCAAGCCTTGCTTTTGGTGGGGCTGAACGCAGAAATGTTCCTCCCAACACTTGTTTTGGCACCATGGTGTGCCCAAGCAGTGCCCCACTCCTGCATGGAACCCGTCAATGCTGCACCTGCAATGGAGTTAAACAGACTTAGCACAAAGCTAAACATCATGTGTGTGCTTACCACCCTGTGCTCAGTGCCTGCAAACAGGCTGTGCATTAATTCACACAAGTGGTGACAGGCATTTGGGCTGTGTCTGTCAGGCTGCTGTAACTCAGTTGTACTTCCTGGCTCTCCCTTTCCTTGTGTGAGGGACTGCCTTAGTCCATGGCTGCCAGTGAGAAAGGCCTGTTGTTGCAAGCCTGAGGTGTGTCAGGTAAATGAAATATGACGAAAATTCCTCAGTTTACCCACAAGGCAAATTTCACCTGGCAAACTCGTTATTTGGAACATCACCTCCATGCTGGAATAGGAAGAGGAGGCAGAAGCTGTGCTTTTCACTGGCAGGTGGAAGGGCATGCAGAGCAGGGATGAGAGCACCCCTTCTCCCACCCCAGGCTGTGGCCCCAGAAGAGTTGAGCACATTGCACCCATCAGGTACGTGGTGATGGGCAGTGCCAAGATGGGCAAGTGTCTTCTCCTACGTGACACAGCTCAGAGCATGGTGCAAAGGGGGTTGGTGAGCACAGGGAGCCTCTCAAGCTGCTCTACCCTGAGGCTCTGCCTCTCTCTCAGAGCAGGAGCATTTTGTAAAATGCAGCCACTGCTTGAAGTGACCCCACAGACATTTTCAGTTAAGTGGTCTTAAGTTTTGAAGCAGCTGGACAGTTATTGGAAGAAGTGTTTGATAAAATCCTTCCCGCCCCCATCCCTCCCACGCCTACATTTGGATTCCATGATTTCTTCCACGTTTGAAATGATTCAGCAGTAGACTCTCAGATAATCTCTATCTGGTTAAAAATAGTTACTTGCCTCATATGGCTTTAGCATGGAACTGTCAACTCTAAAATGTTCCACCTTCCAAAAAAGTAGAGTGAAGAATGAAAGTGAGCTTTCACACATCATTACTCTCAGCATTGGACCTCCAGAGCTCATTCCAAACCCATCAAAGGAGGGGAGGCGAGCTGGGAGGGCGGGCAAGCAAGATGCTCCTGTTCCTGCTCCCTGCCCTGCAGGTCCTTGAGAGCAACCAGGAAGATGGTTTGCTCGTTTCCCAAAACAAAACACCCCCTTATTTTCAAGAAACATTTATTTGTCGGAGTTCTGGAATGTGAGAAGGGTTCAGTCATCGCAGCTGGATGTGTCCTGATGTCAGCTGGGGGTCAGTCAGGGAACCAGGGTCAGTCAGCTGCTCCAGCAGGGAACCAGTACAGCCCAGTTAGCTGAGGAGCATTCCACAGGCACCTCAGAACACTGAGGCAGGAGACCATGAGAGCCAGAAGTCCTCTCAGCCATCCCACAGCTCTCCTCTGCAAGCATGGAGATCAGTGATGGGCTTGCACACTGTGCCAGCTGTGCTGAACTGCGTGTGCTCTGGGGGAAGAAATGGCTCACTTTGTGGCAACAGTGGACAAACGGTGCAGGTGGATCATTTCACTTGGCTCTGGGCTGTTGGAATCCTGACTGTGTTTACATTCAGGCCCTGCTACTGGAGGGTGGGATCCTTCTGCCACAGGGGAGGCAGAAGGATCCCACATCAGGGGGAGGACACTGAAGCATTGCAGTGATAAATGGGACATGGTCCCGCCCAGGAGGGGACAGACAGCACCTCTGCAGTGCCCTCAGCCAGCTCCTGGTGCTCCCACGCAGGGAGGGAAGCATGGCACAGGGGGAAAGGCTGAGCTGCAGTCTGCCCCGTGGCCCCTGGACAGAGGTGGGACAGCAGCAGCAGCTGTAGTGTTCATCCTGGCTTCTGCCATCCCTGAGCAGCGAACAGGCTCGGTGGCATCCCCCTGCTCCCAGTGCTGAAGAGCTTCAGAGAAGCCAGAGGAGGTACAGAAGCATCCACTGCTTTTCACGGCACACTTCTCAGCACCAGGAGATGACTCTAGAGGCTGTATGACAAATTGCTGGTTAATACCCACATTAATTCATTTTTCCCCTCAGAGTTACATTTGCTGTGCCTGCAGAACCATCCTCTGTTCATTTTCTCAAGGTGATATGCTAAATCCTGCTCCCTGGACCATGGCACTCAGCTCTTGCTGGAATGTGATCAAGCTGCAGATGTGGGCTGAGGGAATCGCAGGGAATCTGCACTGCTGAGCACCACGGCCACACCCTGGCCTGCTCCAGTGGGGCAGGGTTTGACCCCAGGCTCAGACCTCTGACAAGGAGCTGGGTGAGGAAGTGCTGCAGCCTGGCTGTGGGGTGCTCTGAGCACCCATCTCTGTGCCTGGCAGTGCTCCCAGGTGCTGCTGCTGCTGTGTCTGAGTTCCTGAGGTAGTGTCACACTGCCACACCACCTCATAATGGTCACTCCATCCTAAGCCTTCACTCTGGGTCACTCTTGACAACACAAGGGATGAGTCTAGAAAGCAATTACTCCTACAGAAAGGGAGAGTTTTGAAGAAGAGCAGAAAGGGACCAAGATTCCCCGTTTTGGATGCCTATTTGTGTACCAGACTGCAGCTGTGTTTATGGGAAGAGACATTTTCACATGCCAATAATTTTCATGCACACCAGGCCTTGTGCAACTTTTTCTTTCCATTTACAATATTATGTATTTTATATGATAAACTTGAAGTGAGGCTTTCGTGCATGAATGATACAGTTTCCATAATATTTTTTCATATGCAGAGACGTTTTGTTTTGATCTCATGGGGCATGAGTCAACTTCTATTTCAAAGCCACTGGAGTCCTTCCAGTGACTTTCCCAGAGCCTGGCTGACTGGGAAGATGAAGCCTGATGCATTCTAGGTGCAAGTCAGCATGCCTGTCGAGGCTCAGAGAAGCTTGGTAGATCAGCTCAAACAAAAAAGGCTCAATCAAAAAACTGTGTCAATAGCATTCAGTGAGCTTGGTGTGAAACCAGAGTCTCTGCCCCAGAACTGCACATGCTGCAACAACACGAGCCCCTTGGAGAAGCTGGCAGCAGTGAGTGCTCAGCACTGCAAGATCCACAAAGCAGAAAAGGTTCCAAGTCCCTCAACCTCAGGGCTGCAGGAGTCAGCTACAGAACTCATCTGAGTGGGACAAACCCAGGGACAAACATGACCCTGGGTTTCCTGGATTGCCCAGGCTAGGCGCTGAACCCTCACAAATGCAGCAGCCCTGTGACCTGACCTGGCTGCTCGTGAGAGCTGCCTGCATGGTGGAACTGCATGGTGACACTGCACGGTGACACTGCACGGTGACATTGTGTAGTGGCACTGTATGGTGACATTTCACAGTGGCACTGCATGGTGGCACTGCATGGTGACTCTGCATGGTGACATCTCCCATGGAGAGCCCTAAACATGCAAGGGTGTTTCCCACGAAGGCTTCCCAGACTTGCAAGTGTGGGATCCCACACAAATTCAGGCATGTGCCCATCCCGTACACATGAATTTTATTCCCCCTTTCTACAGACTGCTGGAAGAATCATTTTGGTTTTTGGTAGGAGCAAGTTTCGGTGGGGAAATAACAGGTTCCCCAATTCAGCAGAATTTTAGCAATTTGCCTCAGCTCAGAAAGATGACCCTGTTCTGTGGGGTGAATAAGGAAGAGAAACAGATTCTGGAAGACAAAAAATGAGCAAGAAACAGGTCAGGTGCCCAAGGCTACTTCCTCGCTGTTGACAGGGCTCATACTGTGTCACCAACAGAGTCCAGGGCTCTGTTAGTGCCACAGGGCTGGCAGAGGGTCTGTGCCATGCACAGGAGCTCCTGCCAGGCAGCGAGGGGCACGTGGGGAGCTTGAGCAGCACTCACCAAGGAGGGCCCAGCAGGTCCTGGCTCTGCTGCCACCCTGGCAGGGACCTGGGGCTGGTACTGTGTCCTCCAGCACTGGCCCTGCTGAGGAAACCCTGCGTGGTTTAAATTAAGTGAAGTGTTTTGTGTTTATGAAACAGCTCCTAACAGTTTGAAAAGGGGACTAGCGGTGTTTACACACAAGCTGGACAGACTCTAGCATGGTGCATGCTCTGTTGTGTCAACTCCTGCACCTGCAGAAGATATTTTAAAATATCCCCGTGAAGTGAGGGAGCCAAACAACTGGGTCCAGTCAGCCCTGCCTGTGCTCCCACTAGAGCCACACTGAACTTTTGCTAACGGAGCTGTGGGATGCTGTGGAAAATCTGCTCTCCAAGGAGTCTTTGCTCCTGTGTGAAGTCAAGGCTGGCCAAAAGCAGGGTGTGGAGCTGCAGGGGAGCAGGTGCTGGAGCAGCCTGGCTGCTGAGATGATGGAGAGCTCCTCCAGGAGAGGGAAGACCTTGGGAGGAGCCCAAGTGTGGCAGCACTGCAGCCCACTGCTGGCACAGGGAAGCAGCAGCTCAGCTAACACCGCCTTCATCCCCCCCAGGCAAGGAGGAGGCTTGGCCAAAGAAGAATGATTTTGAAGCACATTTTCTTGTGCTTTCCCAAACTACCAGAGTTATCAATGTGCTTCTCATTGTGTGTTTTGGTTTCCTAAGCCAGAGGGTGCCTGGATCCCTTCTTAGCAACACGGGTTCTGTTTTTTGTACCACCTGCAGAAGGTCCAGCCTGGCTGTGTTTGCTTGTAGAGTGACACCAGGATTCAGTCCATAGAAAGTTGTTGACCTAGGAAGAGAGAGCTTCTAGAATTTAAGGGCTGGGCAATTTCTTGGAAACTGCCTTATCAGCACAACTGCAAGCTGGAGCTTTAACAGCCCTGCATGTCCCTGGTCCCTCCTCCTGCAGTTCAGTGTCTATATGCTGTACACATGTGTTTATTCTGTAGTTTTCCATCTAAAATAGCTTTGGGCCCAGATTGCCACAGAACCACGAAGCCAAGATCAGTTGCTGAGCTGATACTGAAATCAGGGGTCAGGGAAGTCCTGAAACAAGCCAGCAGTGGGGAGCTGGTGTCTGTGCACAGAGGCTGTGTGAAGGCTGATTCCAAGAACCTCACGTGCCCTTCCTCCCCTGGTGGAAAAGGGAACCATGTGGGGGGGTCAGAGGTTGTTATCAGCAGAGCAAAAGGTGCTGAAAAGGAACAGAGAGGCATTGGCTTTGCATGGCAAGGACAGTCACCAGGGTGAACACTGGAGCTGGGATGAGAGGGGATAGATGAGTGCAGCAATCCAGGGATTGAAAACAAAACCTGGCAATGCATTAAAGTCTGCTGGAGGCATGAGCCTGCACTTACAACTTCAGGCACAGGGCAGGACAGGCTGGGTCACTGTGAGCCCCCAGGGTGTCTGTAGCACCTCAAACCTTCCTGGCTAGAGACAATCTGGATCCCAGGCAGAGCTGCCACCCCTTGTCCTCCCCCAGTTCCTCTGCCAGTGCCATGGTCCAGCTGGGATTTGGGATCTCCATCCCACATTGTCTGGGATTCTGGGGAAGGCATCTTCCTGGGAAAACTGTAGAGGGCAGGACCTTTGCATCTGGGATGCAGCCCTCATCCCTGAGGGGCAGTCTGAGTTAGAGCCCCAGGAGCAGCAGCCAAGCCCACCTGGCTGCCCTCAGCAGGGCAGGCTGCTCTGCAGCACCTTCCTGGGAAACAAATGTCCACAGAGCCCCAGGCACGCAGCACCAAAACCTTCACCTCCTGAATGGCTGCTGTGATAATCCTGTTTGCTCTGTCTTAGTGACTGAAGAGCACCATAACCAAGAAAAACAGCAGGATTATCCCCCAGCACCTGTTCCCACTGAAAGGATTATCATAGCTGGCTGCATCAGTGACGTCCCCTGGGTATCACCATGAAAGCAGCCTGAGTGGCAGCCCACCAGAAGAAGACCTCTCTCCCCTTCTGCATGCCTCTTTCCTGGGTATTTTTAGCTTCTGGAAACTCCTCACAGACACAGGCCAGTCCATATAGCTACAAGTCAGTGTCAGTGTTTTCATGTCTGCAGAGCACAGGCTTGCTCTCCAAATAGCTTCATCTCTTGTTTGTCTGTCAGGGAGGCAGCATGAGAAGTATGGGCTGTAAACTGCAGGGCTGAGAAGACAGGTAGCAGCTTTAAAACACTTTAAAAACAAGCTTTTTTTCCTGCTCAACATTCCCTGTGTTTTTGTTGTTCCAGCACAGTATCTGACCCACTCACCTCACAACCTGGTAGGGCTCTGTTGTGCTGCCTTTACATCCACAATACAATGGTAGCTGATGTAAGAGCTATTTACTGCAGGATGAAAATGATTGATTGCAGAAAGAGACATCTTCCTCAAGGCTGTTTACATGGGGAAGCAGGAAAACTGGAGAGGGTCCAGAAAAATTTGGAAGGGACTCAGCTCATCGGTGGATGCAACAGGAATGCAACCCTCCTGCAGATGGAGGGCTTGTGTTTTCAAACTCACCTTCCAGGCATGAAACCTGCCCCACTGTGCCCTCTTGGCTCTCTTGTGGAGTCACCTGAAATACCAAGATTTGCTCAAGCACTGTGAAATTGCCAGTGGGCTTTGCAGCAGTGCTTCTGAGGTTCTACCTCAGAGAGGTGCTGCCCCAAGGCCTCTGTGACATGAGCTGACACCTCTTTCCATTGGTCTTCTCAAGGAAAATTCTTCCATCTCTTAAGCAGAGGCCTTGGAGAACAGATTACCACAGACACATTTTTTTTTTCTATAATGGAATGTAACATTAAACTAAATACTGGAACATGGAGAAAAACAAAGCAAAAAAACTCACAGAAATTATCCTTAGCTTCTACTGATTTTTGCAAAACACTACTGAAAGTAGGTTTTATAGAAAAAAAAGTATTTATCATATCTGTCAACACTGGAAAACTATGGTTAAATTAAAATTTTATTTTAAACTCTGACTACGATCCAGCAGTGATATGAAATTTATAAATAGCTTATCATACACCACAGTATAAAAAGTATATTTAGCCTCTTGTTATTGAGACTAATTCATTGTTTTATATGAGATGGGAATTAGCTTTACCCCTCTGACCAT